GCAGGCCGCCGTCGGCCATTGGCCGGCGCCGCGCGGAGCGGAAGGGGGCGGCGAGCTGGGGTTGGCGGGCGTCAAGGCGCCTGGCTGCCATTGGCCAGCGGCACGGGAAGGAAGTGGGGCGGCGCTCTGATTGGTGGGTAGCGCGCGTGTGGGGCGGGGCGCATGGCGGGGGGATCCCCCGAGGGGGTATCCCCGGGGGGCGGGGCTTGGGATGGACCGTCGCCTGGGGGGAGGTGGGCGCGCCCCCCCGGGGCGGGGGGGTGTCGATGTGACGGGACGGGCAGTATGGGGGGGCAGCATGGCCGAGGGGCACAATAGGGCTTGGGGTGGGGGTATTTATGGTGGGGGGCAGCAGGGCTTGGGACAAAGAGGGGGAGACAGGGTGATGAGGGGACATGGGATGGGGGGGTGTAGCTTCCACGGGGTCCAACACTCCTAGGGGGCAGGGGGGGCCTATGGCCACCCCACTCTTTCCAGGAGCTCAAGCTTCCTGTACCCCCAACCACCTCCCTCAAGACTTCCCCTATCGTGGGGGGGCCTGGGGGCCACCGTGAGTTACCCCTCAGCACCCCCCCCCCCGGCCTGTTGGCCTCCCCCCCAACCCAGGGCAGCTTCTTCAACAGCCCCTCCCCCAGGGCCGTTCCTGGGGTGGGGTCACCTGAGGCCGTGGGAAAGGGGGCCACTCCCTTGGGAACAGAACCAAAACCGCAGGAAAAGGGGGCCGGGGCAGGAGGGGCCCCCAGCCCGCGGGAGCACAGGGGCCATGGCGAGGACGAGAGGGAAAAGAGGCACCACACACAGGGAAGCGGCTCCAAGAGGCTGCTATTGGAGAGGGTCCTGCGCCGGCCGGAGGTTAAGTGCTTGGCTGGGGGGCGGCTGCGCCCACCGCAGCAGCCTGGAGCCCATGGAGCAGCCCAGGACGGCCGGAGCAGCCGGAGGCATCCCGGCCGCCCGCCCGGATGCAGGGGGCACAGGGGGGCCACGGCCCGGCCAGCCCGGCCCCGGGCTCTGCGCCCAGGGAAGCTGCTGGTGCGGCTGCCGCTGGCCCCTGTGGTAGCCCCTGTCCCAGGGCGGTGCTCCGGGCTGCAGGAGCAGCACCAGGGGGAGGCAGGAAAGGAGGGTCCCCGCTACACACACCCCCAGTTCCAGGCTTCGCCCTGGGCCTGGAGGTGGCTGCACTGGGCATGAGGAGGAGGCAGCGAGTGCCCGGGCCCGTGCAGGGGCAGGATGTGACACTCGCAGCAGGGAGCACCGCAGCCCAAGGGGGAAAGAAAGGAAAAGAAAAAGAAAAAGGAAAAAAATAAAATAAATCCTAAGAAGTGGTGGAAGCCGCTGGTGGCACAGGGGGCAGGCGGGCACCGTCAGCAGTTCTTGAGGCGGCTGTAGAGCTCGCGCTTGCTGCGCTCGCCGGCCCACGTGCGGCTCTTGAGGCGGAAGCGCCGCAGGTCCTCCTTGAAGTCGGCGTGGTGCATGGGCCGGTAGTCCTGCGGCTCGCAGTGCGCCTGCGGCGGCGCCCGTCAGCGCCCGCAACGCCGCACAGCCCGCGCGCCCACCGCCCCGCGCGCCCACCGCCCGGCCCCTACCTGGTACTGCGGGAAGAACTCCCGGTAGCCGCCCTTGAGCACGTAGAGCTCGGGGTAGTGCAGCCGCGGGTACTCGTTGCACGCGCGGTCCTTCTCGCGCACGAAGCGGCACCTGCAGCACGGGGACATGTGGCACAGGGCCATGGGGACATGAAGCACAGGTGGCATGGGGCACAGGGAGCATGGGGACACGAGGAACCGGGACATGTGGCAGCAGGAACGCGGGGACATGCGGAACCGGGACATGCAGCACCATTGGCATCAGTATATGTGGCACCACTGGCATGGGGACATGCAGCATGGGGACATGTGGCACTGGGACATGCAGCACCAGTGGTAGAGGAAGCTGCAGCACCAGGACATGTGGCACCAGTGGCACAGAGACATGCAGCACCACTGGCACCAGTATGTGTGGCACCACTGGCACGGGAACCTGCAGCAGCGGGATGTGCGGCCCCATAGCCCCTGCTCTCCAAGCCCAGGCCCCGGGACACCCCTGTCCCTGTCCTCTGCACTCGGGTGCCAGGGCAGCATGTGGAGGCAGCTCCCCCCATGGCTGCCCCAAAGCACGGGCTGTCCCCACGGGCACAGCGCCACACTCACATCCGCGGTCCCCTCTCGGAGGAGAACTCGCAGTGGAAGATGACGATGACCCTCTTGGCGGCGTCAAAGGGCACGATGGGCTTCTTGAGCAGGAACTCCTCCACGTCCTGCTCCAGGGGCAGGTTGACGGCGCCCTGCGGGGACGAGCCAGCGCTGCCACCACTGGGACCACCCGCGGGGGGCACCGCGGGGCCGGGCGGCACCCACCTTGATGTGGCCACCCTCGTACTCGTAGGGGTAGCGGCAGTCCACGATGACGCAGCTCTCGATGAGGCTGCTGAACTGCCCCGTGAGCACGGCCACCATCTGCGGAGCGGAGCCCGTGAGCGCGGCACCCACCTGCGCGCCCACCCGCCCTGCGCCCCGTCCTCACCATCTCCGGAGAGATGTACTTGAGGTCCTGGTGCTTCCCTTCCACCGTCTGCAGCAGATAGGCCTGCGTGGGGGCATCACAAGGCCGTGAGGGACCGTCACGGTGCCCGGTTTGGCTTTATGGAGGGGCTTGGGCACCAGGGCCCCTTGTGCCCACGGGTCCCACCTTGGAGAAGTCCCCGATGAGCTCGCGGTGGTCGCTGGCCAGCAGGTGCTCGATCTCCTCGTGGCAGAAGGAGTGGGAGCGCAGCAGGCGGGCGCGCTGCAGAGCGGAGCGGTGAGGCGGCGCCGCGCGGGCAGGACGCGGGGCGCGCGCGGGACCCGCGGGGCGCCCACCGGCTCGGCCGCGCGCCGCTCCTCCTCCGGGGTGCCGGCCACGCTGCGCCGCCGCTTGCTCTGCACCACGGGGGCATCGCGCTCCGGCGGCCGCTCCAGCCGCTTGAGGATGGGCCGGATGACGCTGCTGGGCATCGAGGGCGAGCGGAAGAGCTGGCGGCCCTTGGCGCGCCGGGGCGGGCGCTGCGCGGGACGGCGCGTTACCCCCGCGCACCGCGGACAGCCCGCGCAGGGGGCAGAGCTGCCCGCCCCGGTGGGCCGCGGTGCCCGGGGGCCACGTACCGGCTCGGCCTCGTCCTTGCGCACGAGCGGGGCGCTGAGCAGGCTCTCCATGCCCTGCGGCACGGCCGCGGCGCCCTGCGGGGACGGACACGGGAGCACGGGGCGGCCCCAGCTGCCCCCATGATGGAGGGGACTGTGCTGTGCAGAGCCCCCCATTCCACTGTGGGACCCCAGCCCTGCGTCCCCAGGAAGCAGGGAACACAGCAGGGCTCTGCCCCGCATAGTGCCTGCAGTGTCCCCAGGCCACCCCACGGGCAGCCCGGGGACACCCCTATCCCCAGAGATGGGCAGTGTGGCACAGGAGCCCCTCGGGCTGCCGACTACCCTGACACGGGCCGGAGGAGCCGCCTACCTCGGCGCCCTCCTCGTCCAGCACGTCCATGAAGCCGTCGTCCTCATCCTCGCAGGACGCCAGGGAGCAGCGGCGCAGCAGCACGGGGCTCTCGCCCACGTTCTCCTTCTCGGGGGTGACAAGCTGGGGGGGACACAGCTCAGCACGGGCCCCAGCACCCCCCCCTGCCCCCCTGCCACCCCTGCTCACCAGCAGGTCGGGAGCAGAGCTGGGTCTTGGCACAAAGGGCCCCGGCGTCCCGGCCCCGTGGGGCGCCCCACGGCAGCCCGGCCGCTGCGGCTTCTTGAACACGCTGCCCTCCTGCTGCGTGGGGGGGACACGGTGTGAGCGCCCCCACCCCACCTCGCCGCCCCCCCGCGGCCCTGCCCGCACTCACGTGGCCGCGGCCGCCCGGCACGGGGCTCCCGTTGAACTCGCGCGCGTTGGAGACGTCCTTGAGGGCCGGGCTGGCGCCCAGCAGCCGCGGCTGGGGCAGAGGGGGTCAGGGGCTGCACGGCCCCCACCCCCGAGCCCCGGAGGGCACCCTGGGCAGCCCCCATCCCCCTCTCACACCCTCCTCCCCCCTGCAGCCCCCCCATCCTCCTCCTCCCCCCTGCAGCCCACTCTGTGCTTCCCAGCTCCATCATCATCCTCCCCCACAGCCCCAGTCCATCTTCCTCCTTCTCCCCCACACCCTAGCTCTGCATGCCCCTAACTCCATCCTCATCCTCCCAACATCCCCACTCCATCCTCATCCTCCCCTCACAGCCCAGCTCCACGCTGCCCTGCTCCATCCTCCTCCTCCCTGTAACCCACCCAGGAGCCATCAGCAGGGCAGGACCCAGCCCTGCCAGAGCCCTAGCAGGTCAGAGCCTTCATCCCCTACACCTTCCTCCTCCCTGCTCCGCAGAGCCCCACAACTCACCGGCAGGGAGTGGATCCTCCGGATAAGGAGCTTATTGCTGAAAAGAGAGAGAAGGGGGGATGGGATCAGAGGTGAGATGTGTCCGGGAGGGCTTGGTGCCCTGACCCCCATGCTGGGACGGCCCCCATCCTCCTGGCCCGGGGAGCACCCAGCCCCGCACCCTGGCTCACTCACTCAGTGCTGGCTCTGCTGCACTCCAGGATGGATTTCTCGAAGCTGCGGAAGGAGAGGCCGCGTTACGGGTGGGTTTGCACCGGGGGACAGGGACACGCTGCGGGGAGGGGGCTGCAGCAGGGCACTTGGCTTCACTTGGGAGCAGGGGGGCTCACGCTCCTGTGCTTTGCACCCTTGCAAGCACTGCAACAGCAGGGCAGGGCATAAAGAGCCCTCCAGCAAGGGGGGGCTTGGGCTGGACCCCCACACCCTGCATGCACGGCGTGGGGGGGAAGGAGAGGGTCGCATCCCGCAGCATCCCCGGCGGCGGCAGCGCGCGGCGGGCAGGGACAAAGGCGGCGGGGCCCTCGGTGACCCTGCTGCACCTGTATGTAAATGGGCCACGCGGGGGGGCCGCGGGGGCCATATGGCAGCGGGACGGGACGCGGTGCCGCTGCATGCCGGCCGGCAGCGGGAGCGCAGGAATGCCGCCCGCCCCGGCCACCATCTGCGCCCGCTGTCCCATTCTCCCGGGAACATCTGGCGGGACGAGGCAACGGCCGCAGCAGGTGCGGGGGGAGAGGCCACCCGGACACTGCCAGCCCCCCAAGCGCTCGGCTCTGCCCCACGGAACCGCCTCGGTGCCGCCCCCCAGCCGGACGTGTCCCGCTTGCAGGGCCCCCCTGCACCGGGCACAGAGAGCTGCAGGGATCAGGGCTAAACACAACTCCTGCCCCAGGGGGGTGAAACCCTAGACGGCCTCTCGCCCGCCTGGCTGCAGCCTCAGCCCTCGCCTGGCCCGCAAACCCTGGTCCCTAATGATTCCCAGCTGTCCTGCCGCGAGCCGCACAGCGCCGGGAGCTGCCAAAACCTGCCCGGGAGCCCCCAAACAGCACCCATGCAGGAAGGCAGCCCAAGGAAACGCGGGCACCCAGGGTGGGGCGACGGGTGCAGCAGCGGGGGCCCCTTAGTGATAAAGGGAGGGGTGGCAGGAAGCGCCGGGGCAGGAGCCACCCTGGGACGGGGGCATCCGCGAGGGCTCGCGGGCTCTTACACTTCCTCGAGCGCCTCGGGGTCCTCCTGCGACGGGGAGTCCAGCTCCAGGCCTGCGGGACAGGGAAGGGGCTGGGGGCCAAGCTCCCAGTCCATGCTCCACACAGGGCGCAGCACCCGTGGGTGCTGCTCCCAGCTCCCCAGGGAGCCCCAGCCGGGGGCACAGGACGCAAAGGGATGGGAGCCATCCCCAGCAGCACCCCATGATTTGCCGACCCCCGCTATCCCACACAAAGCCCTGGCAGCCCTCGGGTGCATCGGCCAAGCGGAGGCTTCCCAGGAGGAGCCGCCCGGGAAGGGCGCGGGGGCCCGGGCGGCGGGAAGCAGCCCCGGGCCGGTCCCGGCTCTGCCTCCACGTGCGCCCCGGGCCGGCTCTCACCCCCGTCGGCGAAGGCCGAGTCCTGCGAGCACAGCGACTCCTGCGACGACTCGGACGAGAGCGAGTCCTGCGAGAGCCTCGCGCCGCCGCGCCCGGCCGCGCTGCGCCGGGGGGTGTCGC